TATATATATATACAGACCTTCTCTTGTCTGATACAGAAGTGGGGGTTTGGTATATTGCAGTAGATGGGTGTGTGTTGGTTTTGTGATGTAGGAATGCATTTGATACTCTGCTGGTGTCGGTGTTCCTAAAAATGTCCAGCATGCCCTTTCTCAGCTCACACACACAGTGCAAGACTGCCTGAGGCTGCCTTTTACTGATTGACATTAGGAAACCCCCCAAACGCATATCCAATTCATAGCCTGACCCTGCACCCCTTCTGTCGTCATCGTTTCCAAACTGTTTGGACTGAATGGTGACAGTCTTCCTACCCTCTTCATTACATTTTCACTAAACAATAGGTGCTTGTGGACACCATATAATGCAGTTATTAACGGGGCACTTCATTTACTGAATGACTAAATTAAACAAGGAATTCCAGTCATCTGCACTTATTATGAGATTGAATTTTAAGTGAATTTGTCTGATTTTTTTGAACACTCTTACAGTTGTTAGAATAAGTAATGGATGACAAGTAGAGGTTTAGAGAACAGTGACATAGATGATACTCTTTTGCATTGTGTACACGCAAACGTATCACGGAGCAGTATTTACAAGCTTGAACACTTGCCATAAACAGGAAGCTGCAATATTTGCTGGTTATCAGAAGGATCATCAATATCCTTTTATATGAATGTGATTTTATAGGAGTTTTAGCATAGTAATATAGACCAGATTGTGATTGCGATATTAAAGTGACACTAAACTCAGGCATTAAATCTTAAAAATGCATTCAAGTCCCTTAACTATTAACAAAAATGTTCCTTATTTGTGTATCACTCAGCTGCAGATCCTCAAATCATCTCTGAATTGGTGCTGACACTGTCGTTCCTTCTGGAGGGTGGCTACTTTTGTTCCCCATGGTCTCTATGTGTGTTGTAAAGTAGCCACCACTCCAAGCTCTCTCCTGTGATGAATTACATTCTCACTTTTTTAGTTTACTAATATGTGTTGAGTTTGTAGTCTATCACAGGAGCGAGCTTGGAGCATTTTTGAGGTCTAACTCCTGAGTTTTGTGTCACTTCAGGGGGGTGGGGGGGGGCAGCTGCCTTACCATGGTCTTATCACTGTTTAAAGTGGACCTTCATTTTCAAAATTTACTTTTTCCCACTGCAACACAACTCCCCCTCCACAATATAAAGAAGTTGATTTTTACTTTTTTTGTTGACTTTTTTCTTTAAAAACCCCTTGCCCAGCCCCCTGGCTTCATTCTCTCCAAGGTGAGAATGAGATGCTCAGCTGTTGCAGCCTCCTAGGGGGATGGTCCTGGACGCATTTAATCGGGGGCCGGCTGCAAAAACCCGGAAGAGACAGCTGGCTCCCGATGACATCATAGAGAGAGATGGCAGAGTAGGACCCAGCCTGTGAGAGCCGAAAAGTTGATCACAGCAGGACAGCGCTGAACTTGCTTGGTAGGCGAGTATGTTTTCTGAAGAATACCCTGCAAAATAGGCAAGGGGGATGTAAAAAAAAAAGTAGAGGCGTGTTCCTGCTTTAAAAGACAACTATGGGGTAAGTTTTTTCCCCATAGTTCACTTTAGGGTCACGGCAGGACATATACTTACCTCCTCCTGTGACCCAAAGCTCAATATATAGTGGGCTATTGCCCGCGATATACTGAGAGCGCAGCAGCCGGGACGGATCCCGACAATACTGTCTGGATCCACCCAGCTGCGTCAGTGACAGCTGGCTCTGCCTATCTAGAGGCAGAGCCAGCTTGCCCGCCCTCTTCCCTGTCTGTTCCTCCACTCAGTGCTGGATGATTGGAGAGGGAAGGAGGGGAATCCCTGCGGGGAGCAGTGACTGACAGTCACCTCTCACTGCAGGGAGACGATCAGGAAGTGAGCGGATCGGCTGCATGTTTCTGCTCACTTCCTGATCTACTGAGCCGATCTGTGACAGCTTCTTTGTCACAGGTCGGCTCTAACTATGAGGATGAGTGGAAATCACTCACCTTAAAGTTCTCCTTTAAAGTTGTTCTTTAAATTAAAAAAGAAAAAAAAAAGCAATACATAAAACACAGCAATATGCTTTAAGCCATATCGATTTGTGATGGATCTCGGTACAAGTGATCACAAATAAGAGGTTCATCATCAGTGAAAATATCTAATGATGTCACGCATAAGGTATCGATTAAAAAGATAATCTATCAGTTACTATTTATTAAAGACAATAATTTAATCGATGTGTAATAAGATCGGTGTCTGACACACACGCAGTTATCTATTCGATCGATCAAAAATAATCAGTAAAATTCCACCCCAGCCGATCGACTTGCCAGGGCCAAAATCAATTGGAAGATCAATTGAATGGTGGGTGTGGGATTTACATATCTTATTCAGTTTGATCACAACAGTTGCATCGATAGAATAATCATATCAATATAATAATACAGTAATGTCATAGGTAGCATTACAGCATATCAATATATATGTACAGTATATATACTGCTTATGTGTTCAGCACATTGGGAGAGTGTGGCTACACCAAAGCTTGTACTGTTGAAAAAAGAGGAAAGGGGAGGTTGCAAGCCACCCCCCGTGTGGAGTTTTAATACTAGGCACTGGGCTGTTGGTTGCTCTCCATGGAATTTTGGATTAAAATATCTCTGATGTGCAGTTACTCTGGAAATAAGGAATACTTATATCAGTATAAAGGTAATAAGTGCTTTTATTATGCCTTATGTCATAATTCTCCTTGAAGCTAATAATCAGTATCTGTATCCTCAGCTAGTCCTGTCCTCTGGATTGTTTCTTAGTAGCTTCCTCACTTGTGGGCCGTGTTGCTTCCCCAGGGGAACCCGGGGTTCAGCGTGCAGCTATTTCCTTAGACATGCCCTAGAGAATTCCCCCCGTCTTACTTGGGACCAACCTATTACTTTGGTGCGTCCTAACCTGCTCCTCGGTCTCAACTGCTCCAATTTGATCCAGGTCCAGTTCAAGGGTTCTATTACTTCCATTGCAATCTAGAGAGATTCCTACTCCCCAAATCCTGCTCCCAGCTCTGTGTGTTCCATGGTGTTTGGTTCTAATCCGGCTGTTGGCCTACACTTCTCAGATATACCTACTGCCTTTCCTTGGCTATTCCTTATAGTGTCCACAGTCACAGCCTGACAAGTTCAATGACATATGCACATTAAGGTGCATGCTGTAAAGACAGCTCATACATTTTAACGGGCTACCTAAGGCACTGAAATACACCAAAAAATAGGGTTTAGGTACTGGCTAATATCATCTGCAGAATGGAAACAAACTTGTATATTTGTAATTTG